TTCGTAACATTCCACCAAGAATTGTTTTTAAACATTGAACAATTCGACAAGATTTATTAAAGACTGACGCTAATATAATGAATACGACAACTTTGTTTGGTTATTTCTGAACGAAAGAATTTTCGCGTTATGTATAATTTGAATATTTATTAGTATGAGTTCATATTTGAACTACTTGAGAGTGACCGATGATACTGTGTTCAAGACCACTAAATATGATCCTGGTTCGTACATTATTGATGTAAGCGTGACTTTTTAATAAAAGAGATTCGGCTTACAGAAGAAAATTCCTTTTAATTTAGTGATGTGACTAGGTAAAAGAATAACGAATTTAAATTTACAAAAAATCCATTAAACCAAGAAAATAATTAAAAAGATTAATTTTTAAATTTTCTAAAGTTTATATCTAAGAAATTCAACTTGTTTAAATATTAAATACACTTTAAATCAATCGAACTCATTTCGCTTGGGTATTTAAATTTAAGTTTGAAAGAGTTTAAATAAAAAATATATAAAGAGGAGATCACATTTGTAATTGGACATAGGCACCAAGAAAATGTTGATTTTTAATTCATTGAAATGGGAAACTAGAAATCTAATTTAGTAAGTTTACGCGAGACTCTGGATGACAGTAGAACAGGGGCGGCGGAACGATTCCAACCTAGGGGAGGCTCAAAATTTCTCAGACTGTGATGGGCTAGGAGGGAGGGGGCATTTTTAGTTTTCTAACTCCAACTCTCATTAAAGAGATAGTGAGTGTGATAACATGCTTTTAACATGGTTTATTTTGCATATATCTCTGCACAGACAAACAATGTAATCTTGACAAATTTTTGAAAAGATGCGCGATGAATTTGAGGATCTTCCAATTTTTTTGGGGATTCACTGGATTCGTTTACACCACGGAATTGATCCATTTGATAGCACAGGACACAATTCAGCTATGCCAAAAATTATTCGTGGTCCGGAAGAGGAAGCCTTCATTATTAGCTGGTCTTCGCCCCGCGTCTTGTCTGCCTTCATCCTCAGTCAGACACCTGTCTGTGCTTTAATCCCTTTCGTTTGACGATAAAATGAATACTGAGATTTATAGAATAATCCCAAGAAATTCTGAAAAGATGAATCCGAGTAGCTGTTGTTGGATTTTTTCCGACTACTGCATCACAAAGTCTTGTTGACTTGTTCTGATGAGTTTTTTTCGGAAAATGCAAGAACTGATGAATAAAATATTGCTACTTCCCATTATATTGAAAGTAATACACATTTTTGTAATATATCTATTTTTCATTTATCCTAGTATAAACAAATCATAGAAACTTAAATTATTTTTAAAGGAGCAAAACGTTCTCTTGGCTTGCTCATCTCAATTTTGAGAGGGCTAAAAGCAAAGATTTACGAGACGCTATAGTTTTCACTTTTCTGAATTGAATTTGCTTTTATACAGTGGACGCCAAAAGTCTCGCACCACTTTTTTGTTTTGAGTCGTGTATTTAAACTACACAACATTAATTCAATTCCATCATATGTTTGGATAGCAGAGATCGAGTACTATATATGTACATTTGTTCAATTCGAAAAATCCTTGAATATGAAATAGAATAAGAAAAACAAACTCCAGTACTAAGAAAAAAATTATATAAAAAAAGACAAAATGATAATAAAAATATTTGGAAGGCTTTTTGCTGTGCAATAGGAATTTCTTTATACGGCTTTCGTAGAGCTTTTGACGGTGCATCTTCTGAAAAAAAAATCAAGATGCTATCATTTTCTTAAGCCGAGATACGTGGAAAATATAACAGTCTTCCAGACATTTTTATTATGTTAAGTACGGTGGAAAGTAGCATTATCAGGGATTATTGTTTTGATTTTGAGTATAAGAAGAAACCATCAAAAGAAGTCAATAGGATTTATTCTTACAGATTTTGTAGAGCTTTTCACGGCGCATCTTTTGAAATAAAAACCAAGATTTTATCATTTGTTTTTGCAGAGATATTCACAAAACAAACTATGTTGGAAACATTTTTGAAACACAGGGTATTCCACAGTGTTTAATATTTTGATTATAATACCGTCATTTCTCAATGAAATTCAAAATATTTTTTTACCAAAATGATCAGCGAAAAAAGCTCTACAAAGTCTGTTAAAATGATAAGTTTTCTGAATACTTTGAGTTTTTTATGGTTGACTGCCTATGAAAGTATCCTATAACAATAATATCATTTTGTCTTTTTTTATGTAATTTTTTTCTTAGTACTGGAGTTTGTTTTTCTTATTCTATTTCATATTCAAGGATTTTTCGAATTGAACAAATGTACATATATAGTACTCGATCTCTGCTATCCAAACATATGATGGAATTGAATTAATGTTGTGTAGTTTAAATACACGACTCAAAACAAAAAAGTGGTGCGAGACTTTTGACGTTCACTGTATCTAAATGATTTATTGCTTAAATATTCACTTTTAATTCTTTAAGGCAATTTTTGATCACGAAACGAATTCCTTTGGTAGTATCAATGTATTCAATAATGCGTTTTTGTACAATAAACTTGATTTCAATAATCAGCATGCCATTCCTGGAGCTTTTAGTTCGCTGTTATAATGAAAAATTACAGGATCTCGTACATCTTTACCTTTTGTCCTCTCAAAATCGATTACAGTAAGATAAGAAACCGTTTTTCTCTGAGTATTGTGGAAAATTTAACGACACACCTTTAAAAACAATTTAAATTTTTATTATTTTTCTGTTCGAAAATAAATGAACATAGACATTATTTCATTTATGTTTGTTATTTCCAATATAATGGAAAGTAGAGACCTTTTATACATCTTTTCTTTGAGTTTTCTGAAAGCTCATCAGTACAAGTCAGTAGAATTTTTTAATACAGTTATTGTAAGTGCACCGAGAACGTATCTTTTCAAAATAAATTCAAGATTTTTGCATTTTTGCATGCAAAGATATATAAAAAATCAACTACGCTGATAATATTTTTGAAATCTGTTATAAATTCAGAATGAGATAGCCTCGCCAAGCCTCTCCATTATTTTTTTAGGGGAGGCTTGAGCCTCCCCAAGCCTAAGGACTCCGCCGCCCCTGCAGTAGAATAAACACTGATATCATTATAGATTATTTTAGTTGAATGGCTTGTACACATGTCTTCTACTCTTATGTTCTCGTGTTCGAATCCATGTCTTGACTTTATTAAAATTTATGTAAGTTATAGTTCTAAAGGTCTATGAAAAAAAAATAAACGAGTGCATAAATTGTATCTGCAACCCAAGTTCAATGAAGCACTTGACGTTTATCATTTTTTTTCATCCAGAATATACGCCACTACAGTTTGAGAAACGCTACGAAACTTTTTAGGAAAAACGATCGTTCCACAACGTTTGTTTTAGCAGATGTGAAACGCGTTAAACCGGACAGCATTAACGCGTTTCGCAACTATGGAAAAATGCGTTTTGAGAACGCGTTTTTTTCGCAGAAATTTACGCCATGGGATTGAATAATCATTGTCAACATGGTCATTCTTGACGACAAAAAAAATTGAGAAACGTTTCTGAATTAACTGTAGAGTTATATTCATTCCGAAAAGAGTGCAAGACAAAGTCGAATTTTTTTATTAGTTTGAAAAATTTTTTCGCTCAAAGAAAACTTGTTTTCATTCTTGTATGAATCGATAGAGTATTTTCTAAGTCCTAACATATTTGCATGAAACGACAAGGTTTCGGTGAACTTCAGGTTACGAGAAGAAATTGATGCTAGCTCTGATGCGAAATTTCTGTCACATTTCGCTTCCTAATATTGTTCACCTCGCAAAAATCTTAGTTTCAATGAATATTTTTCATGAACAAATGAAACAAGGGATTTGGCGTTTGCTCTCTAAAAACAACAGCGCATGTGGTTCGCACATCTTCAAGATTTTATTAATCCAACTCATCAACACAACTGTGACATAAAAACACGAACTCAAACGATATTGAATATTTGTTCTTCATTTTCCGCTGATCATACATCTGCACGGTGGTACAAATGGACAGATACACCTACCATTACCATGACATGATGTATCACCCCATCCACGGCATGTTGCTTGTGGCTCAACTATAGGCCCAGCTCGAACCAGCATTGTATAAGAAATAATAATGAATATCACCATTATTGTAAGTAAAAGAAATTTTGTGGAAGCCATTATGTTAGATTTCGATGTTGTTAGAAAAATGAAACTACACAAGTGATTGTTGTGTGAATAGTTACTTCGTCTTTTATTGACTTGAGAACGAGAAGACAGCTGATTTTGTTCTCATAAGCACATCCATCTTTCATCATAAGATAAGAAACGAAACACTACTGTTAAGTATTCGATTTTGATTAGTTACAACCATGTAGAATATTAGAACGGTATGAGATATTGATTGTCTGCAATAGAAACAGAAGGAATGGATGTTTATAAAATAAATCGTAAGCGGGTAGATGCTAGTCATTGCATACAAATACAAAGATTTCACATAGCCTATTATCCAGCGAAAAGCACATATCGCAAGGGTGTGGGTGGGTGTCGGTGTGGGTGTGGGGTGTTGGTATGGGTGGAAGTGAGGGCGAGCTTTAAAGACTAAAAAACTGCCACTTACACCTACACTCCAACCCCACATCCACACCCGCAGTATGAAAAATGAAAGACGTATATATCTATATCATCCCTCAAGTTACTTAGTCATCGTTACTTATGATGAAAGTATGTTGATATTAATGTCCTCAGTTCTTTACTTGTCTTATCTGTTACCTTATCCAAATATATAAATATGCACATGCTTTCCACACGAAGATAGAATTTAAAAGACAGCAATACAGAGATGAATTATCTCTCTTTTTACGTTAATGGTACAGAAATTATTGAGCGTAATGTTGAACCTGAATGGACTCTTCTTTGGTATCTAAGAAATAGTAAATGACAAATATTTAACATTTGCAAATGATGTAAATTTTTTTTGTTTGTTGTATATAGAATTACGATTAACTGGTTCGAAATTGGGTTGTGGAGAAGGTGGTTGTGGAGCATGTACAGTTCTCATTTCAAGATATATTGGTGGAGAATCTGAGGAAATTGAACATCATACAATAAATGCCTGTTTGGCACCATTGTGCTCTGTTGATGGATGTCATGTGATTACTGTTGAAGGATTAGGTTCAGTAAATAAATCAAATCTTCATTCAACTCAAATACGTCTTGCTGAATTATCTGGTTCACAATGTGGATTTTGTACACCAGGAATGATCATGTCTCTTTATGGTACTCTTACATCAAAAAATAATTTCTTACCAACAATGCAAGATATTGAAGAATCTTTTGATGGAAATCTTTGTCGATGTACGGGATATCGTCCAATTCTTGATACTGCAAAAACATTTGCTAGTGATATAGATAAAATTCATTATGAAAAATCGTCATCATCAATAACATCAACTACAATGGATAAATGTTTATCATATATGGAAAAAAATTCTTTACCATTTACTCAAGTCGAATTTCCTTCAAAACTTCGAAATTATATTCCTCAATCAATACATATCAAAGGTATTATCTCTTTTAAATATAGAATTAATCATCTATATTTATAAATAAATAGGTTCTTCGATTGATTGGTATCGTCCAGTATCACTTAAGGAATTACTTCATCTTCGTCATACTTATCCAGGTAATCAATCAAAACTTATTTTTGGTAACACAACAGTACAAATGGAAAGAAAATTTCAACAAATCAATTATCCTCGTCTTATTGCAATAACACATATAAAAGAATTACAAGAAATAAAACGAACTGAAGATTCAATATATCTTGGAGCTGGTGTAACATTTACACGTTTAAAATCGAAATTAATTGAATGGAAGGATACTAATGATAGTTTCTGTCAAGCTTTACTTGATCAATTGAAACATTTTGCATCAACACAAATACGAAATGTTGCTTCACTTGGTGGAAATATAATTGCTGCGTCTCCTATGTAAATCATATTCAAGATAATATTTTAATACATTCTTTTTTGTTTTGTTTTTATCTAGTTCTGATATCAATCCAGTATTAGTAGCTGCAGATGCTACACTTGAATTACATCGTGCTGATAATACTGAAGTACGATACATTCCATTATGTGATTTTTTTCTTGGTGATCGTCGTGTATCACTGACTGATAATGAAGTTCTTGTTGCTATTCATATTCCTCTTGTAAAATCATCAAATAAATATTTTCTTCGATCATATAAACAAGCTCGTCGTCGTGATGATTCTAGAGGACTTGTTAGTGCTGGATTTAAAGTTCAACTTGAACAATCAAATTTAGTTAATAATCAATGGCAAATTATTTCAGTTTGTTTTTCATTTGGTGGAATGACATCAAAAACAATTCAAGCAACACATACTCAACAACAATTAATTGGATTACCTTGGACAAAAGAAACAATTAATCAAACATGCGAATTACTTCTTAGAGAAATGCCACTTGATGAATTAAGTCCAGATGGTAAACCTGAATACAGGTATTCATCATCACTTAATAATATTATTATTACTAGCGAGAACCCATGCATACTGCACGGCCGGTTTCTCCTTTAACATATGACTTCAGACGTTTAACTTTTCATCTGATAACAGACATACAGACACGCGATATTATGTATATAGATCAAAGTTTTACAACCTCATAATCTTACGCCTCTGGACAAAAGTCTTTCCCTCTATCTCTTTTTTCAGTAAGGCTTTCTCTACTATTCTAAGATCAAAACATGGTGTTGTTCGGACTATATACAAGCGAACCCGAATGACACCCTGTTTTGTCCTTATGACAGCAGAGAAAACCTTGCTGAAAAAAGAGATTTGGGGAAAGACTTTTGCTCAGAGAGGTTCTATCGCACATATTTTTATAGCCTATGTAGCCTTATATCTCTTCTATCCCTCGTAGTCTTATCTCTTTATTCTCTTACACCCTTCATGACCTATGAGTATCACCACAGAATAGTCCTTGAAGACCTTTGGGTACCTCTGTATGATAATCTTGGCGCCTTTCCCTTATAGCCTTATATGACCATTAATTCTTGACCTTTGGCCCAGCACAGACACACACTGAACATTATTTATATAGATTGTTTTTTTTCTCAATTTATTTAGACGAACATTAGTTCAATCGTTTGTTTTTAAATTTTATTCATATGTATGTAATGAATTACGTCAACCAATAATCGATTCAAGTATTCTTTCGTCGTATCATCGACCAATATCTCATGGACAACAAACAATACCTGAACGACCTCAATCACAGAAAATTGTTGGAAGTTCATTACCACATCGATCAGCTTATTTACATGCAACTGGAGAAGCTATTTATGTTGATGATATGCCATCTTTAATCAATACACTTCATGCTGCACTTGTACTTAGTACAAAACCAAATGCTCGAATAAAACATATTGGTAAGAATTTTATTTTTATAGATCTAATTGAAATAATATAATAATAGATACTGAGTCTGCTTCAAAAGTTTCTGGTTTTGTATCATTTGTCAATTATATTGATGTACCTGGTTCAAATAAGACAAATGGTATATTAACAGGTGAAGAAGTATTTGTATCGTCCATTGCACTTTGTATTGGTGCAATAATTGGTGTTGTTGTTTGTGAAACAGAACATGCAGCTGAAATGGCTGCAAATCTTGTTAAAATTGATTATGAATTATTATCTCCAACAATTTTATCAATTGATGATGCTATTAATTATCAATCTTATTTTGGTGATGAAATATGTCTTCAAAAAGGTGATATTGAAAAATCTTTTATCAATGCTGAACATATATTAGAAGATACAATTTATATCGGTGGTCAAGAACATTTTTATATGGAAACAAATTCTTGTATGGTTATTCCATCGAATGATGATAAAGAAATAACATTGTATTTGGGAACTCAAAGTGCAAGTTCTATGCAAGAATTAACTGCATTAGTTCTCGGTCGAGATGTTAGTCATATAACATGTCATGTAAAGCGAGTTGGTGGAGCATTTGGTGGAAAAGAATCAAGATCGTAAGTTAATTATATTTTGATGATATAAATATTTATTCTATTGTAGTTTTCCTCAATGTCTTGCTGTCGCAGTAGCTGCTGTTAAAGTAAATCGTCCTGTTCGTCTTAATCTTGAACGTCACATCGATATATCTATAACTGGACATCGTCATCCATATAAAATAAAATATAAAGTAGGATTTACAAATGAAGGTCGATTTTTAGGACTTGATCTTCAAATGTGGAGTAATGGTGGTTGTACATTGGATGCATCAAGATCTGTAATGGAACTTTCTATGCTTCATGTAGGTAATACTTATCAATTTCCTAATATTAAAATTCGTGGTTATGCTTGTAAAACACATTTACCATCAAACACAGGTTTGTCATTATAAAACAAAATTTCAAATAAAAAATATAAATAATTTGTTTTAGCTTTTCGTGGTTTCGGTGGACCACAAGCAATGTTTGCATGTGAAACAATTGTTGAACATATTGCTGCATATCTTAAACGTGATCCATTAACTATTCGTCGTCTTAATCTATTTAAAGAAGGCGATACAACTCATTATGGACAAGTTTTAGAATTATGGAATGTTCCTCGAATTTTAGATGAACTTAGTAAATCAAGTGATTTTATTCAAAGACAAACAAATGTTGTTGAATTTAATCGTCAGAATATTTATCGAAAACGTGGTATATCTATGATACCAGTTAAATTTGGTATTGGGGGTATAGTTAAATTTTTTAATCAGGCAGGAGCTCTTGTTCATATCTACAAAGATGGTTCCGTAGTACTCACTCATGCAGGTGTCGAGTTGGGACAAGGATTACATACAAAAATGATATCAATAGCTGCTGAAGTATTAGGTTGTAGTATTGATAAGATACGAATTAGTGAAACAGCAACAGATAAAGTGCATAATATGAGTCCAACAGGTGGATCAGTTTCGTCGGATCTTAATGGAATGGCTATAAAAAATGCGTGTGAACAACTTCGTCAACGATTAGATACACTGATTGTTGATAATAATGTTAACATTTCATGGGACGATCTTGTAAAACAAGCTTATTTTAATCGTATTGATTTATGTGCTCATGGATTTTATGCAACACCAAATGTGTTTGATTATGATTTTACTCAAAATCAAGCTGCTTACAATTATTTTACACAAGGTGCAGCAGTAACTGAAGTTGAATTAGATGTATTAACAGGAGATTGGCATCTTTTACGTGTTGATATTCTTATGGTATGTAAAATCTTCTATGATTATAACAATAAATCTTTTCTATTATAGGATGTTGGTAAATCACTCAATCCTCAAATTGATATTGGTCAAATTGAAGGTGGCTTTATGCAAGGTATTGGTTTATATACTATGGAAGAACTCATATGGGGTGATTATACAAAAAATAAATGGATTCAACCAGGAAAATTATTTACTTGTGGACCAGATACTTATAAAATTCCATCATTTAGTGATGTTCCAATTGATTTTCGTGTTTCACTTCTATCTGATTCATTAAATCCACGAGCTATTTATTCATCGAAAGGTATTGGTGAACCACCACTCTTGCTTGGTTGTTCAGTTTTCTTTGCATTAAAACAAGCATGTATGGCCTATCGTGAACAACAAAGTTTATCAGATTATTTTACACTTTATTCACCAGCAACTGTCGAACGACTTCGTATGGCTTGTACTGATGAATTTACTCGTCGTACATGTCATGATCAACATGAAACATTCCAACCGAATGGATCTTTTTGACAATATTAATATTTCAGTTAAATATGTTATTCTAAAAATATGAAAATGATTCCAAAAAAAAATTTTAGTTTGCGTAACATTATATCTTCATTAAAGAGAATTTTATAAAGTATGGCGTTCATTAATTAGTATCTGTTCTATATATAACTTCTACTTTAAGCTTTTCACAAGTGATTGGAAATATTCTATTTGATTCAATAAAACACTATCCTAATCGAACATCTGTAAGCAAGGTCTTGATAAGATACTGAAAAGATGGGTGTCGGTGTGGGTGTGTGTGCAAGTGAATTGAAGATCTGTACCCACACCCACACCCTACTCTCTAAGGCAAGAGCAATCTTCCTTAGAAGAGATAGAACAAAATCGGTGGCTTTATGATGAACCGATTATTTAGATAAGATATGAAAAAGAAAACGGAAACCAATATCTAGCTTTAAACTATGAGTCAAAGAGAGTCAACAGAATATGGTTGACGAATTTATTTCAACTGTTGTAGTAGATCAGTGGTTAGCTGATCGGTTAAGTTCATAAAATACAAACATTGCTTATCAATGCAAAGAAACGATCTGTTTTCAAGGATTTGCTAAAGGCTCTCCAACAAATACACCTTGAGATGTTTGCAATATACTCTTGCACAGATCTTCGTTATTTTTTGTGTTTCATTCAAGGGGGAAACAGCGTACTTTTGGACTTGAAGTCAATTCAAGTTAA